GCCTTGCACTGGGAGCAATTGGTGGAGGTGGCAGTCAGGGCTAGCAGATACTGGCTACTGTCCACTGGGGATGGAGGGGGGAATAAACCCTGACCCTGCCTGCTTTGCCTCAGGGGGCCATGGCAGCCAGCGTTTGCCAACACTCCCATCCCTACTGCTGGAGCAGTGAGGAGGGAGTGCCAGGCAGACCCCAGCTTACCCTGGCTAGGGCCTATGCCAATGGGACAGGGATGGAGCAGGGAATTAAACCCCTGTCTCTGTTTGCTTTATGCTGCTGCCACACGCCCAGCCACTGGAGAAGCAAGTGGAGAAATGAGAAATGGCTGGGGGTGGGGATATACGTCTTCCCTGCCCCTTCACCTTAGGTAGCCAGTGTCTGGCCATGCCCCCACCCCTGCTCCAGCTAGACAGCAGAGGGGCAGGGCCAGGGCCAGCCGTGCTCTGCTGGAGCAGACAGCATAGCCTAGCCCAGGGTAGCAGAGCATCTTCTGTCACAGTTTTAAACCCGGTCTGCTCACTTAAACTGGTTCATGTGTAACTTCTGTCCCTAGCACGTGAGTCTGACTTGCAGGCCGGTGAGGGGAAGGGTCCCCCCTGAACTGTTCATTTGACCATGTGGGGAGAGCCCCACGGCTCAGGAGGTTTCCTCCATTCCATCCCAGGCTCCCCACAGCTGGGCAGACCTCAGCCTGGGGTGGCATGGGGGCAGACCTCTTGAGATATGGGACTCCTCCAAATGGGCAGACACATGTCTCAGGAGGGCCAGCACTGGGATAGGGGGACTCCTTCTCCTCTGTGGGAGGACAGCACGAGGTTTCGGGGGGGGTGCTCGGCAGGCTATCAGGATGACCCCCCTCTGTCCCCTTGGCTGGGCTGGGCAATGGCCAGCAGGCTAGTAGATGTGCTCAAGCACCCCTCACCTTCTGGCCTGGGCCAGTACAGACATGTGCCTGCCTTTAACTGAAGAGTGAATATGCTTTCCATTTGTTATTGGTCCAATCTACACAGCTGAGAGAAACCTGCAAAGATTGGACTGATTCTGCATCAGGCTTTTTGACTATCTGTACTTAGCCTGTGATTCTGTCCTCAGACACTACCCTCTTTGATTATGATGGAAACCCTCATCGATTCTGTGCACCTTAGGGGCAACAGAACTCTTTGGAAAAGCTTTGGCTTTTTAGGTGATGAAATGAGAAACAAAAGCCTGTAGTTTTGGATAGAAGCGGAAGTGCCCCACTTCCACTTCAGAATACTGCAGCTTAAAATTGCAAAATGCTTTCTAGGAAAATTCACCAGCGTTCCAAAGGAAAGATTCATTTAGAAACAAATCAAGAGAAAATGCCAGTAAAAAGGGACTTTTATTAAAAAAACCCCCAAAAAACCCCAAAGCAAACATCTCCCCCTAAACAAAAAAAGTGCTAATTTTCATTTGTGGAAATAGAATGTAATATAGAACTAGGTTATTGTCCTTAATATTTGTAATTGGGGAAAACTTCTGAAACTTTACTGTTGTCAGACAATGCAGTGTCCTTATTTTATACTCCAGCACTTCAAAAGTCAGATTATTTGGAATACAAACCAATCCCTGCAATATTTTATGACTTCCTTTCACATCTAAGGCTAGGAATAGATGTTGCATTTGTCCCTGGGTAAGTTGTGTCTGTGTTTATCCCTAAACAATAATATCCTGGAATTGGAGTGTACGTACAGTGCCTTCCCAATCAGGGTTTAGTGACTGGCTGAATGCAGTGCCATGTTTCTGCCATTGTTTCAGTGATGCAGTCCTAGGATAACTGTACAGAAAGGTGATTGGGAACAGTCAGCATGGATTCATCAAAGGCAAGTCATGCCTGATCAACCTAATTGCCTTCTGTGATGAGATGACTGGCTTTGTGGATGCAGGGAGAGCAGTGGATGTGGTATACTTTGATTTTAGAAAGGCTTTTGATATAGTCTCCCACAGCATCCTCACAAACCAGCTAAGGAAGTGTGGGTTGGATGAATGGACTGTAAGGTGGATAGAAAACTGGCTGGATTGTTGGGCTGAAAAGGTACTAATCAAGGGTTATGTCTAGTTGACAGCCGGTGTCAAGTAGAGTGCCCCAGGCATCTGTTCTGGAGCCAGTTTTGCCCAAACTATTCATCAATGACCTGGAAGATGGGACAGACTGCACCCTCAGCAAGTTTTCAGATGACATCAAGCTGGAAGAGTAGTAGATATGCTGGAGGGTAGGGCTAGGATTCAGAGAAACCTAGACAAATTGGAGGATTGTACCAAAATAAATCTCATGAAGTCCAATAAGGACAAGTGCAAAGTCCTGCATTTAGGATGAAACAACTCCATGCACTGGTACAGTCAGGGGACCAACTGGCTAAGCAGCAGGTCTGCAGAAAAGGACCTGGGAGTCAAAGTGGACAATAAGCTGAATATGAGCCAACAGTTTGCCCTTGTAGCAAAGAAGGCTAATAATATACTGGGCTGCATTAGTAGAGGTGTTGCCAGCAAATCGAGAGAAATTATTATTCCTCTCTATTCAGCACTGGTGAGGCTACATCTGGAGTATTGTGTCCAGTTGGGCCCCTCAGCTATGAAAAGTATGTGGACGAATTGGAGAGAGTCCAGTGGAGGGCAATGAAAATGGTTGGGAAGCTCAGGCATATGAGTTGTGAGGAGAGGCTGAGGGAACTGGGTTTATTTAATCTGGAGGAGAAAAGACTGAGGGAGGATTTAATAACAGCCTTCAACAAACTGAAGGGTGGTTTTACAAAGAGACTGGAGCCAGACTTTTCTCAGTGGTATGGATAACAGAATAAGGAGCAACAGTCTCAAGTTGCAGCAAGAGAAGTTTAGGTTAGATATTAGGAAAAACTTGCTCATGAGGAAGATAGTAAAACACTGGAACAGATTATGCAGACAGGTTGTGAAATCTCCATCCTTGGAGGTTTTTAACACCTGCATAGACAAAGCCTTGGCTGGGATGCTGTAGTTGGGGTTGGTACTACTTTGAGCAGGGGGTTAGATTAGATAACCTCCTGGGGTCCCTTTCAACCCTAATTTTCTCTGATTTCTATGACATGGTTGTCTGTAAGCCTGCACTTTGTCCCAGGAAAGATGGTATCCTGGAATAAACGTGACACCTATTCTCAACCCAAGTGTCATATGTCTTGGGCCCTAATCCTGTACCAAGTTATGCAACTTTATACACTTAAAGGCAAGGTGACTAAAAGTGTTCAAGTCAGCTTTTAAAGTTCTGCGGTTTAAGAACAGCTACTCTGAGGTCAGCAATGAGATGCCAGGGGGGTTAAAGTGTTCACGGCCACAGGCTTTTCTGTATTTTTGGACTTGCTGTCAGTTTGGTGTCCCCTCGTTCTTTCATGTAGAGATTTTCCTGTCTGTCCAATGCAAACAGAAGAGGGGCACTGTAAGCAGGTGATAGCATATGTGATACTGGTAGAGAAATATGTGACTGAACCTTGGGTGTTATAATCTGTGTTGTTTCTCCAGTGATAATGTTGACCTCAGAGTAGCTCTTCTTCAAACAGTGGAACCTTAAAAGCTGACTTGAACATGACATTGCAGAACAAACCTTCACCAGCTGGATTGTGTTAAATGTGGTCTGAACAATGAAAGCCAGTTTGCTTTATAGCAGGAGACAGTGGGCAGTCCAGAGATACCAGCACTCTTCATTTGCTCCTGGTAGACACTCTTGGGGCTTGAGGGGCCTGGTCCTATGTGCCTTGGGAACTCCCCTGTAGGGTCAAGCCTTGGAAGCACCTGCTCAGCTTTCCTCACTTTCAGAGATGTGCTTCTGGCAATCTCGGGACACATCTTAGGAAACAGGAAACATATTACCCATTGTCCCACAAGATTAATAGGTGAGACCATGGATGATGTCTGTTTTGCCCAGTGAAGCTGATCAACTGTGCCAGGACACATTGAGCGACATTATTGAGTGACATCTATTTCTAGCTTTAGTCTATATGATACATCTCTCCCTTGCCTCCTGCCTGATATCAAACCAAGGGCCATGTTACACAGTAATCTTGGGGAGCTCCTGGAGCTCTTAACCCCTGGATTGTCCGCACATGAATACCTTAAAGTGGTTTTACGCACTCATTATGCGTCTCAATGTTATACCACTTCAGGGCAGGATTATCTCTTATCTGTTTCTCTTCCATTAAGGTGTGATCACTCCTCACAGATGTGCCACCCAAGTTGAAGTCCTCCAGTATCCCAGGATCTCTCACACCTCTTCCTGACTCAACAGCCCTCTACTGGGAATTCAAAGTTTAGCCTCAAATCACAGGGGTACAGTCAGACAAGGTTTCTAGACTAAGACTGTGACTACTCCAAACTCCAAGCTAGCACTAACGATGATCAGTCTTTGTGCAGTTCACAGTATAGAGCGTAACAAGGCCCTAACAGACCTAACTAATTCTTCAGACTAACAGGGCTAAGTTACTTAGGACTACTTGTCTGTAAATTACTCACAAGCTTATATCTTTCAAAAAATTAGGTTTTAGACTATGGGCTTCTTGGGCCTGTGGCAGTACGTTACAGAAAAACAAGTGATATAAATTTAGCAGGTTATTCTTTTTTGTGTCATAGACTCATCCTGAGAATTTGTTCCTAAATCTAATGATGTGGTTCTTATTGACAATTAATAGGATTGATGAAATCGTGATGAATGCCTTTTGGCTAAGAACTATCTGTGATGCAGGAGCTTGTAGTACTATTTTATTCTCCCAGAATTTAAAATAAATGTTTTTCTTTATATTTATTTCTCTAATGAATTGCAGTAAATTACTATTTAGGTTTGTTATTTAAATTATTTAATGCACTGACAAATTGAGTGCTTTCATCTACTGTCTTTTACACAAAACATGTTTTTTTAGTTTTTACCTCCTTAGAAGCATTTAAATGTATTATTTTTCCTTTAAATTAATTTAAACATGTAAGTTGCAAAAAATAATCACACTGTAATAGATAAAACACTTACCAGAATCTTCAGTACTCAGTTGTAAAGTAATTTTACAGATGCCACCTTGGTCTTGGCAAGTAATGGGTATGGTGCTTAGGATGGTCAAAACATGTTCTTTGCCATCCTCTGCAATTTGTAATGATTGTGGTACAAACTGGAAAAAAATAGATTATCAATCTTAGATAATTATGCCATAAATTAAGGGAAAATTTATATTTTTAATATTTAAAAAATGAGGTTTCTTTTCAAACACTTATAAATTATTATAATTGCTTATAAGATAACCATCATCCTAAAATTCTAAAGGTAATTTTTTTTCTTAATCTTTTTCAAACATGTTCAGTAATTAAGAATATGTTTGCAGTTGTCATCAATAGCCTGTAATTGTTTCTTATTTTCCACTCTGAAAAGGGTCTTTCACAAATCCTGAAAATGATATGATAGCATATCTGTTTTTCTTAAGTATCGCTCTTTAAAAAGACCTCTAATTACAATGTACTGAGAGAGGTATTGTCAGTTATCATGGGCTAAAGTGTATTATTGCCATACTCCTGACTATAGAGTAGTATGCTAGAGCCAGGAGCAGCTTAGATTCATAGTTTCATAGTTTCTAGGGTTGGAAGGGACTTGAGTAGA